GGCCCCAAATCTGAGATTCTCAAACCTTAAGCATAATATCTCACATTAAAATTCCAGGTTCCTGACCTAAAACCACACAGTAAAAGACAACTGAAAATCTGGAACCAAGGCAATATGACAAACATTGATAGAATACCTCTATCCCAAATCACAAATGAAATACCAGTGCTTCCTACAAAATGAATTCAAGAGATAGAGTTCAAAATACAATTCCAAGTATATTTAACGAGGTCAAAGGACATAAAGAGGAAAGAAGCATCTGAATTCAAATAGGACAAGGTCAAACTGATTGAAGGACAAGAGGACCATAAGCATGCTGGGAGTGTTACAGGCATGTAGAAGTCGGGGTGTGAGCCAGGGTGCTGGTTCTTAGGCTAAGCTTCTGTGCTTTGCTCTCATGCCAAGACGTGGCTTCCTCCCTCCATGATGACAGCATGTTGCAGGATATTTGATCACATTGTGAACCCTGAGATTGTGTACTAGAAAAACCTGTTTCTAGTTGTGTGGCTCAGCTCTAGCACATACCTTTAATCCAAGAGCTCTTTGTAAACAGGATTAAATAAAGTCAACCATAAATCAAGAGGCAGAGCAAGCAACCAGTTGACGGAGTGAACATAGGGAAAAAAAACCAAACCAAAACAAAACAAAACAAAAAAAACCCCCCAAAACCATGGAGAGTGAGAGGAAGTTCTAAAGAAAGACCCATAGGAAGTAGAAAGGATGACATTAAGTTTGAAGGTTTTTAAGATAGCCTGGAGAAAGAGAATGGGCTTTTTTCCTTCTGGGAAGTCAGAGGAGTAGGAAGGTCAGGTGGGTACTTTCTCTACTTCTCTGAGCTAGCAGGCTTTTACCTCAGCATCTGGCTCCCGAGTCTTTTTTGGTAAAATTGAACGTTTGAGATTTTATTTAAAAATAACAGGGAAAGATATAAATGGCTTTTAAGTGTCACTCTATTTGCATAATGATGGAAATGATTATCCAGGTTCTCAGCAAAGGTCTCCAAAGTAAGTTGTCAAAAATTTAGAGTATTTCATATAAGTGTAGACTGTACAGCTGTAATCTCTTTTGCTCTTAACTAATGCTATTTGCATGGAACATTTTAATTCATCACTTGCTATCCAGCTCCTCTACCGTGTCTTCAAGCCTGATATTCTGTCACCCATCCGATCTCTTTTGAGTTTTAGCAGGCCAACTGCACTTTTCATCTGTTTTCATTTCAGTTTGTTTCAGAAACATCTATTCAATGTTTCTAACTAGTTACTGAATTCAGTATTACTAAGACATTGTCCTCGTTTTACGAGTATTTTCTTTCCCAGGAATCATTTTGTTCCTATCCTTTTTGAGTTGATTCATATATTTAGATGTTTTGACCATCTTAAATACAACTCTTTTTTTTTCCTATATATTGGATATCATTTAAATTGTTCTCTTTAGGGGGTACAGATATGATTTATACTTTGAGACTTTTTGTTAAGGAAGTTTTTGTCTTAGCTTTAATTTGTTTTGAGAATGGGATCTAAGCATCAGAATTAAGGGTGTTGGTTGTCTCTAGCTGTGTTTTTACCTGACATCCCACGGTGCGAAGTTAGGAGGGATAACTTTATCCGAAGGGTCCAGAAACCAGGGTGGGGGTCAGATCCCTCTGTGCAGAGTCCTGCTAGATCCAGTTTTGGTCTAGGCTGGCTGTAAGCATGTGGGAAGGCTGTGCAGAGCGGGTCCAGGGCGCCTGACAGCTAGGCTATGTGGAAGGAGACTCAGCAGAGGTGGAAAGGGAGGGGCGGTTCCTGATGAGGAGGGAAGGCACAGCTACTTGGTCTCAAGACTTTAAGAGACAAAAGCTGCAGTTGGGAAGCTAATCAAGTAAAAAAGCCTGTAGTAGGCCGGTTTAGAGGAAATGTGTTGCCCTGTATATTTGGTGGGTCCAGGAGGTGTGGCTCTGGGGAACCAGGCCTAAGAGACAGGAAATTCCTCCTTTCTCTGTGGTTCCTGGGAGCCCCATGTTCCGGAGGTGGAGGGTGGGATGCCGTGGCCGTATATTTCCGGGGACACGAAAACTCCTGTTAGGCGCAGGCACCGCACAGGGCGGCCTGGAGTCACCAGTCGCTCGTGCAGCGCCGCCAGTGCAGCGCCGGAAACCTCGGCCCGGCTGCCCTGGGACCTCCAGGTCAGCGGAGCTGCGGGATGGGATGGGCGGGAGCTGAGCCAGCTGTGCTCTCTGAGGTGCTTAGGACGCAGCTTCAAAATTCTGTTGCGCATATCTGTCTTCTGGGTAAATGTGAGCTCCTACGAACCGAGTCTTATCGTGATTTTTTTTTTCTTCATCTTACAGTTGCTAGAATATTCAGTCATTAAATAATTAATAAAAAAAATCTGGCAGAACGTTTGTATTTTCTGGTGTTTGCAAACATGGTTCTCTTTGGTATTGTGTCAATTACAGAGCTCTTGTGGTTTAAATTTATTCATGCTTTCTAGCTCTGCTGTTTTACCACTTGCTTTTTCAAGAGGCCTTTACCCCAGGCGACTAGACATTTTCTGAGAGATTTATAGATAAAAATCACACGAGGAACCAGTGCAGATTTGGTTAAATCAGAAAAATACCTTTTTGAGCGTTACAGATATGGCTGTTAACTTTTACTGTTCGCCGCCCTCTTGGAACCTCATCATTAACTTTTACTAAGCAGACTGTTTACTGTCAATTAATTTTCGGTCTGAGATGTATGCAGATTTACATATTTAGATGCTGAGTTCTAATGTTACACCTTAGGTCCAGGCAAGCCCAGTGTTGTGAGAGTGTATCAGGCCACAGTATTTTTATTATTAAAAAATCCACCATAGATTAAATAAAATTAAAAGCATCTTTTGAATAGTTATGATCACTCATCTATGTCAGAAAAATGTCTCCTTGGTTCAAGAAAAGCTCTTTGCCCATGGACGTGCCTAACTTGTTTTTTATTTCAAGGCCTGCTGGCAGTCAGTGCTGTGACAGTGGCTTCTTACAGGAGTGGGATCCCAGATCCTTTGTTCAGGCCATCTCCTGTCGCAGAACTGCAGCAGTCACCTAGCTACTCTTCAGGGTTCCAGGGAATACTGTCATGCTGTGTGTGAATGAGCCTCACATCTCACAGAGTAAAGTGAGATCCTTAGAGGAGACAAGACCCCTTTTGTGATGTTGCATCTCTTCTTCATGTTTATTATTATGGTGGGTGTTAGCATCTTTCATTTTCACTCCATGAAAAGTTCCAGGTGCTTTCTGCAGACTCTTTTTCTCTTATGCAGGTCTTACACTGCTAAGCCAGACCTGCTCACCTGTGAAGAAAAAAAAAAAAAAAAAAAAAAAAAAGCCTTGGATGGTGAAGAGTGAGGAGGCAGTATAAAGGATGCAGGAGTGTTAGAGGGATTGAGGAAGGGACAGGGAAGGGCTCAAGTGGCAGTAAAAACTGTTTTTGCTAGATTCTATTGCATTCAAAATGTTCGTAGAGAGTTCCACTGAAAACAGTATTAGGGCTATCCTATTGTAGGTGTTTGAAAAATCTGTGTGTAAGTATTAATACTCAGAGAAAAATTAATTTAATTTGGTTTTGCATATGAGTGATGCTGGTCCCTCTTCTAGTCACATCACTGGTTGTGTTTTTATACCAATGATAAGTGGTTTCATTACTCTAAGTTTACTATAATGTTTAGTTAGAACCACTGAAGCCTTTTGGTTTTGCTGCTCTTAGAATTTTGGCATTTTTTAGTTCCTTCACGTTACCTATCTTTTAGGGTTAATTTCTTCGTTTCCTAAAATAATGCCAGGAAGATTCTGATAAGATTTGCTGTATTAACCTCCATCTACGTTGTCTTCCCATTGATATTTCCTGTTGTCTATCTCCATGTCAACTCTCAATGTTTTGCATGTCTGTAATTTTAATATATTTTGAAATCTCCCTGGCTTTGGTCTTTCTCTCACAATTTTTGAATTCTTTGTGATTTCTCATATTTTTATAAATCTTAGGGAGATTTTTCTCTATGAAAAAAATGTTTATGGTATTTGGGGTCTTTTTATATTTTTGAATTCTTCTTTTACATTTTTTCACATGTTTGAAGAAGAACATGCTAGCAGTGAGTCAGTATTCACATGATTTTTATGTATTCTTTTGTTTTCTGTCTACTGTTGATGTCAGCATTCCAGGTTCTTGAGAAGACACTTTTTAAACATTGATCTAGGATTGAAGACTTGGTTTTTGTTTGTTTTTTTGTTCTTTTGAGATGCTTTCTCTATGTAGTCCTGACTGTTTTGACTGTTGTAGAACTCTCTGTGTAGACCAGGCTTGCCTTGATCTCAGAGATCCACCTGCCCTAGCTTCTCCAGTGCTGGGATAAAAGGCTTGCATCATGAGGCCAGGCTGACGTGTTTTGACGTGACCACACTGGATTCTGTTGGAGATTCTTGCATCTGTTATTCCTGTTTTCTTCCCTGGGTTTTCTATATCCAGATTCCTTAAGATTGTACTTTCTTTATTGCTTTTACTTTTATTTTCAGGTCTTGGACAGTTTTATTCATTTCCTTTACATGTTTAATTGTATTTTCCTGATATTTCTTTAAAGGATTTATTCATTTCTTCTTTAAAGGCCTGCATCATCTTCATGAGACAGGATTTAAGGTCATTTTCTTGTTACTTAACTGTGTTAAGATAGCCTGGGCTTGCTGGTAGACTAATGCTTGGGTTCTGGTGTTGACACATTGCCCAGATGCTTGTTATTTGTGTTCTTGCACTGGCCTTTAGACATCTGGTTGTCTCTGGTATTAGCTGGTGGTCCCTGCTTGCTACAGACTCCTTGGAATGCACATTGGTGGTCCCTGGGGACTACAGACTTCCTGGAATGTACGTAGGTGTGGGATCCAGTAGATGGAGGGTGGAGGGGCCCAGGCATAGCTCACCTCTGCTATGTTTGCCCTGTAGTCTGTTTTCCCCAGGTGGCCACAGAGGGCATCCAGGGATCATGGCACTGGACCACAAATGGAGTGTGCCAGGGGCAGGGCAGGTCCCTCTGCTGCTGGGTTTGCTGGGAAAATAGGACATTCTAGGGAATTGGGGTCTCACCTGGTGGTCCCTGGGGACTACTGGCTTGTGGGAATGCAGGTAGAGGTGAGGTCCATTAGATGGAGGGTGCAGGGAGCCAGCCATAGCTTACTGCTGGTTTATTTGCCCAGTGGCCTGGTGCAAAATCTCACCTCTGTTTCCTAGGTGGCTGATGAAGGCTTCCAGGAGATGAGGCACAGGACCCAGAATGGGGTATGCAGGAGACAGTGCAGATCTCTCCTCAGCTAGGTGTGCTGTCTTTCCTCAGGTTTCCTTTGAGGGCCTCAAGGGACGTGGCACTGGAACTGGAATCTAGTTTTGTGTTTTCAAAAATACTTAAAGCACTTAGGAAGTTTAAGGTAGTCTCATAATTTCTGTGTGGTGGTTTGTGTATGACCATCATCATTAAAAGAGTTTGAAATCTTCCTTTTCTACTGTTTCTCCTTTTTATCCTTTGTCTTACTCAGATTTCTCTAGCCCATTCTTTTTTTAAATTAAATTTTTATTTTTTTACATTAATTACATTTTATTAGCTTCTTAGGGCTCTGGATTCAATAAGACTGGAAAACATGAGCATCTTCACCTCCATACACTGTTTTTACTAGTGCTGTTCATTTTTTTTCTCTACCCTGTACTGTTGGCCTATGTGTGACACAAATGCCTGTCACTGTGTTCAGCCATGTTTCATTTCTTCCTAGTTGCTTTGGAAGTTTATCTCAAGATCTTCCTGAACTTTGTCTCTTGACATTTCCATGTCTTCTGAGATTTTCGTATTGCAGGACTTTTTGTTGTTGTTATATATGTTTTATTTGTTTTAATATTCTGGGAGGTTAATTACTGGTAGTATTTTTCCCCTCCAGATTAAAATAGTAGTTTGCCGTTTTTATGTGTTGGACATAGTCTTCTACTCCTCTGCTCTCTTTTAGCTATTTTTTAATGTAAAATGTCTTATTTTCTGTGTTCTTATTAATAGTTTCTCTCTGAATTTTGATGTATTATTTGCCTCTAATTATGATCTGCAGTGGTGCTTGAGTGGCTGACCTTTGTTGTTTTATAACCCTATCTCTTCCAGGAATTTTAAGACCCCATGTTTTGGGGTGCAGTGATAATGTTCAGTTATTTTCTTTTATCACTCAGAATGTATCCTTCCATGCTCTCCTATCTGTAGAAATGTTGACAAGATCTTTAGCATCATTTTGGGTTTGGGGTCTTTTTATATGGTTTGGCAATGTCTGTAACAGAGTTGTATTAATTTTAGCTTTGTAGTTTTAATACCTTGATGTGAAATGCCAAGAAGACTCTTGGTCTTTGGTCCTGAAACAGAAATTCAGAGAAAAGCAAAAGGAAGAATGGATGTTTCTATTGGAAATGCTCTCCAGGTCAGTGTTTGTTATGTCCACATTTCTTTGAAAATCATTTTTGTATTGAAACCATGTAAACCTTTATTTCTCTTCCCCTGGTAATGTCATCTTTCTTAGTTACGGTTTCTGTTGCTGTGAAGAACACTGTGACCATGGTAACTCTTATAAGGGAAAACGGGTTCAGAGGTTTAGTCCATTGCCATTATAGCAGGAAACATGCTGTTGTACCAGCAGACATAATGCTGGAGAAGGAGATAAGAGTTTTGTATCTGGATTGGCAGAAAGAGACACTGGACTTGGATTACACTTCTGAAAACCTCATAGCCCACCTCTATCCATTGACACACTTTCTCCAACATGGCCATACCTCCTAATAGTGCCACTCTCTGATGACCTAACATTCAAATCTATGAGCCTATAAATCAGATTTATCATTGGATTATCTAAGCTGTTTATTTCCTATGACTTTTTTTTTCTCTGATTATCAAGATTGGGTCTTTAAGTATATAGCATAGCCTTGTCCCTTTGTAGCCTCCCTAGATTATTTCTATGAGTCCAGATATTTTTCATGGAGTTAAGACCTGCAATTCTGAAAGATCATCAATGGAATATATTGATGTCCAGTTCCTACAGAAGATAGACTTGTGTCCTGGAAGGTCGGTCTGATGTACCACATGGGTTGCATTATAGGGATGGTCAGTTTTCCAGAACCAGGCTTATGAAAGAGGGCATGCAAACACATTACACGTTGTCTGACATGACTGAGCACGTTATGAAAATGTAGAATTAGAAGAGACTCGCTATCTTGAGTCCTGGTACTAGATTTTCAGCACCATAGATTACGGATAATGGAAAGAATAGGTGGGATTCCCTTGCCATAAAGCTGATGTTTCTGTGAGGAGATGCAAATTTCTATATATTGGATTCTCTTTTGCATTTGATATTACACAATGATAATGGGTGTGTTGACACCTGAAATCTATTTGTCTCAAGAGAGGCCTTGCTCATAACGTTGCTTGATAACAACACTTGGTGTGAAGTTCTCAATAGACAGAGAGGCATTTTTTCTTTGTCTTTTATTTTTTGGAGAGAGTGTAAGCACGACTGGCTCCACCTCTGTATTGCATCATGTGGAATATAGCAGTAAGATTTTTCTAGAGAGCATTGACTTGGTGCTGTGCATAAGCCATCCATTTTCAACCATAAGCAAATGTCCTTTCTAACAGCTTTGCTCTCTTTTCTTTTGGAGGAAGACTTCCCCCGACTCTGGTCCTCCCCCTCCCAGAAGCTATAAATTATGTATGTAGAGACTTTGAAGAATTGTTGCAATGGACAGGTTTCCATTTCTTCCTGTAAAAAACATTTTTATTTAAGTAAGTGTTCATCTGCATGTTTTTCTGAGCACTGTATGACAACATGATGCCTGTAGAGTCCTAAAGTCTTTGTGTACCAAACCTTTGGTGCTGGAGTCAGGTACTGTATGGGGTGCCATGTGTGTAGAGAGAATGAGGCTGGTTTTCTCTGCAGGAACAGGAAATGCTTGTTGCAGGATATTTGATCACATTGTGAACCCCAAAATTGTGAACTATAAAACCCTGTTTCTTTCGTGTGGTTGAGCCCTGCCACACACTTTTAACCCAAGAACTTTCTGTTTATTGTAAACCCCTGATTATGGTGTTCTCTCAGCCCTAGCCCATCCGAGAACTTTCTGTATACAGGATTTAATAAAGTTAACCCTAGGTCAAGAGTTAAGCAGGAAACCAGCTGATAGGGATTAAAAAGTAGGAGGGACTTTGAGTTGAGGGGTATTTAAGACTTCAGGAGAAGAAAGAGGATTAGCTCAAGTTCTGGCTTTAGGCTTCAGCTCCTCAGCTCCCTGGCTTTTTGGGCTTTGAGCTAGCAAGCCTTTGGCCTTGGGTTTTTGTTTGTTTGTTTGTTTTTGGCCTTTTGCTCCTAGGCGTCAGTTGAGCTAGTGAGCTTTGGGGTTTTTTCCATCCACACCTGAGCTGAGGGGGAAGGTTAGCTGGTTACTTTCTCTGCCTTTCTGAGCTGGCAGGTTTTCATCCCAGCATCTGGTCCCTGACTATTGGAAAAATAGAACGGTTGGGATTTTCCTTCTTTTAAACAACAAATGCACTTTACTTCTGAGCAACTTTTATAGTTCTAACATTTGTGGTACACATTCATTATGGAACCAGTATATAACTTTATTCTTTCTGTTTTAAAAAAAATGAATCATAAAAAAATCATAAATGTTTCTTATCTGTGTAACACAACATCCTGTTAGACAATTAAGCTCAAATACTGAAGGAAAGAATAGAGTTGAATATTGATTCAAAATTTTAATTGAGCCAATCTCATAAGCCACAATAAATTCAAAATTAATAGTATCATTCTCACATACTTAATATCAATTTTGAACATAGAAAATCTTTCTACTTCATCTGAATTTATTGTCATGTAGGGCCTATATTTGTAAATACTTTCTGATCATGCTATAGTGAAACCCCATTTTGAATTTCTGAACATTTTTTTTATCTGTTGGTTGATTATATTTTTAGAAAAATGTAGATAATATTAATTCTGTCTAATGCTGACTTTTTACTTTATAGTTGGCAAAATAGTCTCATAAAATAGCTTCACTAAATATTTCTATTTATTTCGAACATGGGTTGTATACACTGAAGTTACACTTATTACTGTTACAAACAAGAATAAAAACCTGTTTTGATTTTTAATTCACCCATGAGTTCTGTAGTATATATTCTAACTCTTTGTTCTAGAAAGGTTGCAGAATTGTACATAAGGCTTGACATCTCAACTGAGTGTTAGAATAGAGTCAGGTAAGGCCCGTCTGCAGACAGGATTGATACAGTGTCCATATTTGAGCAAGGTTGACAGAATTTGGAATTTGGAAGCATAGTTCTGCTCATCATGACTTTTCCCTCTGAGATACGACTCTGTAATCCTGTTTGATTTCAAGACAGCCTTCATAAAGGTAAATTCCTGCATCTAGATGTCAAATGTATATCTTGTATTTCTACAACTTTGCTAATTGTGAAACTATTGTGTCATCCTGTTTTCACAAATAGGAAATATAATACAGACTATGATTATTCTAGAAAATATCCCTTATTTTAAAATTAACTTTCATTTTTATTTTATTTGTGTGGCTATTTGGCTGAATGTATATGTGAGTGCTCTCTGGGCCTCCGGGCTATAGAGTTTAGAAGAGAGCATTAGAGTCCATGGAACTGGAATAGAGCCATCTATGTGCTGGGAACCAAACTATGGTCCTCTGGAAGGGCAGCCAGTGCTCTTAACCGCTGTAGCACCTTTAGAAAACTCGTCTTCACCTGGCGTTCATAGGGCAGTGATGGTGCACACCTCTAATTCCAGCACTTGGGAGGCAGCGACTGGTCTGTAGAATGAGTTCCAGGACAGCCAGTACTACACAGAGAAATCCTGTCTCAAAAGCTACATATAAAAACAAAACAAAAACTTGCTTTTGAATAGTATCCATCCCTCACCTATATCACAAAACTGTCTCTAATTTCTTAGGTCTCGTTGACCTAGGAAAGCATTTTATTCAGCAGCTCATGGTAAATTGGTAATTTCCCGTTACAGGGTCTGTTGACATTCCAGGATGTGGCTTTGGACTTCTCCCATGAGGAGTGGGACTCTCTGGACTCTGCTCAGAGGACTTTGTACATAGATGTGATGTTGGAGAATTACAGTAACCTAGTCGTTGTAGGTAAGAATGTTCTTTTTAAAGAAAAAAAAGATATTTATATTTTACTTTGCAATGTACTTTGTAATGTACTCTTTTTTTATTAATTTATTCACTTTACATCTCATTCATAGCCCTCTCTCTTGTCCTCCTGATCCCACCTGTCCTCTCTCTTCCCCGGTATTCCATTCCCTAGTCCTCAGAAAGGGGGGACCTCCTCCCTTACCAGCTGATCCCAAACTATCAGGTATATTCAGAACTGCCTGCATCCTCTTCTCTGGCCTGGCAATGCTGCTTCACCAGGAAGAAGTGATAGAAGAGTAGGCAACAGAGTTCATGTCAGAGACAGCCCTTGTTCTTCTTACTAGGGACCTCACATGGAGACTGAGCTGCCTATGGGCTAATCTGAGCAGAATGTCTAGATCATCACTCTGTATGGTCCTTAGCTGGTGCATCAGTCTCCTCAGGACCGTTTGGGCCCAGGATTTGTTGGCTCTGTTGGTGTTCTTGTGGAGCTTTTGTTCCCTCCCTGTGTTTCTATCCACCCCCAACCACCACCACTCTTCTGTAAGACTCCCAGTGCTCTGATCAAAGTTTGGCTGTGAGTCTCAACAGTCTGCTTTGATCCCCTTCTGGGTGGATATCTGTGGTAGGCTCCCTTCCTGTTCCCTCTCTTCAACAGCTTCCAGTGTCTATTCTGTTTGTCCTTCTGAATGAGAATTAAATATTCTCCCTAGGGTTCTCTTTGTTTTTACCTGTAGTTGCCTGCAACCACCAATAGTAACTGCCTGCACAAGGGTCTAAGAATTAAAAGAGACAGAGAACACGAAGAAGTGACACTAAGACAGTGCTTTGATCAAGGTGCCATCTTTATTACAGAGTAAACCACTTATATAGGTAAACCACAAGGGACTTTCCAAGTAAACATAGCCAAGCAAAACAGGAGGCTTAACTAAGCAAAACAGGAGGTGTCTGCTGAAAACAACAAGAATAGTGAGCCAGCATGACTTGCACATACGTGACCATCTCAGGTCCAATGGAATGGCTACCTTGTTTAGAGTCTTTAGTCTGTGGATTTTAATATGGTTATCCTATAGTAGATGGCTAATATCTGCTTATAAGTGCTTATATACCATGTGTGTCTTTCTGGGTCTGGATTACCTTAATCAGGAAGATACATTTGCTTGTAAATTTCATGATGTCCTTGTTTCTAATAGCTGAATAGTATTCCATTGTGTAGATGTTCTGCCATTTCTTTATCCATTCTTCAGTTGAGGAACATCTAGGTTGTTTCCAAGTTTCTGGCTATTAGGAATAAGTTGAGCAAACATAGTTGAGCAAACGCCCTTGTTGTATGATAGAAAGTAAGAATGATCTTAAAGTCCTCCCTCATCCTTTGTGTTTACCTGCTTTGTATATATGTGAGTTTCTTGAACTCTCTAGAGAATTCCAGATAATGGGAATTCTGTAAATAAACATAACTTTAAAATTTTACTTTCTTTCCATTTTCTTTGTTCTCTGCAACAGTAGCTAAGAAGACTTATCTCTCTCTCCAGCCTTCTTAACTAGTTTTTAGTGAAAACTTCAAATTAAAAGAAAGTTGAATAGTCAGAGTAAGGAAGTGCTTTGCAATTGGAATGTTTTGATTTTATTCTTGGTTTAAGCTTTTCTGTTTCTGGTATTTTTTCCCCAGAGGAGACATTTTAAGTTAGAGAAAGCTGTTGATCTTGAACGTATTGTTTTTGTTTATTTATTTTTTTTTTGAGATGTGGTCTCTATATTAATCTTGGCACAACATAGTTTTAATCATAACACTAGGGAGGCTGATGCAAGAGAAGCTGTTGAGTTCCATGCTGGCCTAGTTTACAAGGTAAGTTCCTAGCTGGTGAAGGCTATGCAGTGTGACTGTCTCAGAAACACAAACAAGAAAACAGACACTGCCTTCATCTGATCCTTAAGAACTCCTTATTCAGAGTTCATTATTGCTTGATCATTTATTTGTCTGACATTCTACAAGGTGTGTAGTTTAGATATGAATGAGAAGGCTCTTATCATTTCTTGCAATTGGAGTGGAGATTCTCCTGAGCTTCTGTTTAATGAAAGTGAAACATGGCAGGCCTATTCTGAAGAATTGCTAGTTTACTTTTGTTTTTTTTTTTTTTTTACATTTTTTTATTAATTATACTTTATTCACTTTGTATCCCCCCTGTGGTTTCCTCCCTCCTCCCATCCCAATCCCTCCTTTCCTCCACCCTCTGTATGCATGCCCCTCCCCAAGTCCACTGATAGGGGAGGTCTTCTTTTCCTTCCTTCTGATCCTAGTCAATTAGGTCTCATCAGGAGTGGCTGCATTGTCTTCTTCTGTGGCCTGGTAATGCTGCTTCCCCCTCAGGGGGAGATAATTAAAGAGCAGGCCAATCAGTTTATGTCAGAGACAGTCCCTGTCCTATTACAATGGAACCCACTTGGATACTGAACTGCCATGGGCTACATCTGTGCAGGGGTCTTAGGTTATCTCCATGCATGGTACTTGGTTGGAGTATCAGTCTCAGGAAAGACCCCTGTGCTCAGATTTTTTGGTTCTGTTGCTCTCCTTGTGGAGTTCCTGTCCTCTCCAGATCTTACTGTTTCCCACTTCTTTCACAAGATTCGCTAGTTTACTTTTGTTTTATTCATTCATTCTTTCTTTTTTCTGTTTTTTTCCCTTAGGGAAGCATCAGTTATTGACTATGTTACTCACTTCAATCCTTACTGCCTTTAATTGTGCTGTTTTTTCCAGAGCACTATTACATGTGTGTTAAACAGAAGACAGTCCTGCATTACAACTCAAAGAACATTGTCCGTCAGGGTGTTAGTATCCGTGAGGGATCTTACAAATGCAATGAGCTTGGCAAAATGATTCAAGAATCCTCCCAATGCATACTTCATGACACATGTGATGTTATAGAAATCTGCAACAATTGCAAATTTGGAAACCACAGAGATGCCTCTATTGAATCATCAGACCTAACCATCCATAAAAGTGGAAACACTGGAGAAGAGCCTTTCAAATATAAAGACTGTGTGAACAGTTTAAATTTCTGTTCCATCATTAGTCAAAATCTACGAATCTGCACTGAAAAGGAAGAATGCAAAAATAGAAAGAATAATAAATATTTTGACTCTCAACACAAACTCACATTGAAAGAAATCCACACCGGAAAGAAACCACAGCAATGCTGGAAATGTGCAAAATGCTTCAAGACATACTCACACCTCAGTGGACATAAAGGAGTTCAAACAGAAGAGAAACCTGATAAATACACAGAATGTAGTAAATGCTTTCTGCTTTTGTTACAACTCTACGTACATAGCAATAGCCAATATGGAGAAAAACCCAACAAATGTACAGAATGTAGTACATGATTTTATGATACATCAGACTTTAAAGGACATTACAGAATACACATTGCAGGGAAAACTTACAGATTTACTGATTATGTCAAATCCTTCATTTGCTGCTCAGGTATCAGAAAATATCAGAAAATTTATAGAGGTGAGTCACCTTATGAATGTAAGCAATGTAGTAAGTTCTATACATTGTCACAACTTGAATACCATTATAGAAACCAAAGTGGAGAAAAACTGTACGGATGTAATGATTGTGGCAAATCCTTATCCACTGTCTCAGGTGTTATATCATATCAGAGAAGTCACACAGGAGAGAATCCTTACAAATGTAGTGGATGTGAGAAGTCCTTTATCACTAGCTCATATCTTAGATTGTATCAGGAAATTTGTAGAAGTGAAAAACCTTATAAATGTACTGCATGTGACAAATCCTTTCCTGAGAAACATCATCTTAGGAGACATCAGACAATTCATACAGAACAGAAGCCTTATAAATGTAGTGAATATGAGAAATCCTTTTCAGTTGCTTCAGATCTTAGAAACCATCAGGAAATACTGACAGGTGAGAAACCTTACAAATGCAATGAATGTAACAAATCCTTTACCAGTGGCTCATATTTTAGAAGACATCAAAAAATCCATACAGGAGAGAAACCTTACAAATGCAGTGAATGTGAGAAATCCTTTACCAGTGGCTCATACCTTAGATTGCATCAAAAATTTCATACAGGAGAGAAGCCTTATAAATGTAGTGAATGTGGTAAATCCTTTATCACTGGCTCTTATCTTAGACTGCATCAGAAAAGTCATAGAGGTGAGAAACCTCATAAATGTACTGCATGTGGCAAATCCTTTCTCGAGAAACATCATCTTAGGAGACATGAGACAGTTCATACAGGAGAGAAGCCTTATAAATGTAGTGAATGCGAGAAGTCCTTTACCAGTGGCTCATATCTTAGATTGCATCAGAAAATTCATAGAGGTGAGAAACCATACA